GCGTCTCCTTGCAGAGGGGTTGCGCGCAGCTATGGAAGAAGGCAAGGCAGCGAGCGGGATGGATCCCGCTCTGTTTTGCCTTCCCCTTTAGCCGCGCGCAGCGTCTCCTTGCGGGGGTTGCGCGCAGCTATGGAAGAAGGCAAGGCAGCGAGCGGGATGGATCCCGCTCGCTGTTTTGCCTTCCCCTTTAGCCGCGCGCAGCGTCTCCTTGCGGAGGGGTTGCACGCGGCTATGGAAGAAGGCAAGGCAGCGAGCGGGATGGATCCCGCTCGCTGTTTTGCCTTCCCTTTTAGCCCCGCGCAGCGTCTCCTTGCAGAGGGGTTGCGCGCAGCTATGGAAGAAGGCAAGGCAGCGAGCGGGATGGATCCCGCTCGCTGTTTTGCCTTCCCCTTTAGCCCCGTGCAGCGTCTCCTTGCGGAGGGGTTGCGCGCAGCTATGGAAGAAGGCAAGGCAGCGAGCGGGATGGATCCCGCTCGCTGTTTTGCCTTCCCCTTTAGCCACGTGCAGCGTCTCCTTGCGGAGGGGTTGCGCGCAGCTATGGAAGAAGGCAAGGCAGCGAGCGGGATGGATCCCGCTCGCTGTTTTGCCTTCCCCTTTAGCCCCGCGCAGCGTCTCCTTGCGGAGGGGTTGCGCGCAGCTATGGAAGAAGGCAAGGCAGCGAGCGGGATGGATCCCGCTCGCTGTTTTGCCTTCCCCTTTAGCCCCGCGCAGCCTCTCCTTGCCGGGAGACGCTGCGCAGGGCTTTCCTGGCTTTTCTGGGAGGTGGGGGAATTCCCCCACCTCCCGCAAAACCGGCAGAAGCCGCGCGCACTTTAAAAGGGCTGCACAGCTTCTTCTGGCTTTCCTGGGAGGTGGGGGGATTCCCTCACCTCTCGCAAAAGCCCGCAGAAGCCGTGAGCTCTTTAAAGGGGCTGTGCGGCTTCTCCTGGCTTTTCTGGGAGGTGGGGGAATTCCCCCACCTCCTGCAAAACCGGCAGAAGCCGCGCGCACTTTAAAAGGGCTGCAGGGCTTCTTCTGGCTTTCCTGGGAGGTGGGGGAATTCCACCACCTCCCGCAAAACCGGCAGAAGCCGCGTGCACTTTAAAAGGGCTGCACGGCTTCTCCTTGCTTTCCTGGGAGGTGGGAGAAGGGACTGATGCGGCCAGTCAGTCCCTTCTCCCTCCTGTGGAAAAGCCCGCAAGAGCGCACGGAGCTTGTGTGCGGCTCTTGGGGGCTTTTCCCGCCTGCCTCCCCCCCTGCATTCGCTCCATAGGACGCACACACATTTTCCCTTGCTTTTTAGGAGGGAAAAAGTGCGTCCTATGGTGCGAAAAATACGGTACCTCTTAACACTAGCCTTTCTTTGACAGCAGAGGTCCCAATTTGGCCTGTGAGGCAATTTCCTTCAAACTCAATCAGTCTCAATCAGTACTCATTATGGTGCATCAAGGTGCATACATTAAAACATAACCCAGAAGACAAAAGTACTGCTGGACAGCGAATCAATCTATCCAGAGACAGGTATACATTTTGTGATGACTCCCTTTTGTTGTTGTTTAGTCGTGTCCGACTCTTCGTGACCCGTTAGTACTGATCACTTTGAAAGGAAAAAGATCTGATAATTACAAACACTGAAACACAGTGCAGTTTGCAAAGTGGAAGTGTTTTACTATAGGTGTGAGGCGACTGCCCCCACCCCACTCCCACAGAAATAAAATAAAAAAATAAAAATACCTGCTGCAAGATTTCAATGTAGACATGTGAGCTGAAACCCAAATATAGATTCTATTTTTGGACAGTTTGCATTTAGTGATGCATGCAACTTACGTATATTATTTTAAAGAACACTTTATATAGCTTGAAAAGGGAAGTAAAGAGTGGAAGAAATTAAATCTAGTTCCAAGGTAATGATGACAGAGCTGGAGAATGACTAAAGTATAAGCCCACCCATTTTGTTAAAAGCTTGCATTTTACTAGGAATCGTCCCTTGTAGACCACTTTTCACCATACTGGTTCCCATGTACTTCAACAGGGAACAGGAAAAAAATGTGAGTATTTGCAGCAAAACTGCCCTCCTCACCAACACTAAATGATCTGATTCACCTTCAAATTATCAAGATATTCCAGGGGGAGCAATGTGTCTCGGTGCGCCAAGCGCACAGAAACTCACCGCATCCCAACCCCATGTCCTGCAGTAGGAAGACTCCATGAGTACACAAAGGTCCATGTTGAAGAATCCAGAAAGAGGCTTGGAGGACTCACACACCTCAAGGCTCCCTTCTTAGGGCAGAACCACACTACCTGGTGTGAAATGCAAGTGCCTATTGTAGCTTACCAATTGTTTGTGGTTGTCATGGGTTGGCTTAATCCTTCCTTGTTTACTGACCTGCCCGTGCATATTTTGTAGATACAAGGAGCACTTTTTGCTCATGCACAATATACACAAATGATGCCCTGTGGTTGTGTGTTTAGGAATAAAATGTACACAAAATGCAGTCTTTGAGGTAATGGTGGAGATTTGAACCCAAGTTCTAATTAAATAATCTATGGCCTTTTAAACTGTGTGTTGGGGGGGGGGGGGTGCTATTGTTTTTGTTTGTTACTATGTTATGTATTTTTGTGTATTTATATTGTAAATCACCCCGAGGTCCTCGGATGGCCGCAATCATGATATTATGTAACTAAATGTTTATGTATAGATTTAAAAATCTGAGCATACAGTGCACTGACCTAGGAATGACCACTATAACTATTATATGATACAGCTTACAGATCTATCACCCTCCATCTTCATGCAACCCTGTATTGTCCAATTAAAAAGTAGGTAAGTATAACTTCAGTCATTGCCATCTTTGGCAATTACTGTTCTGTTTTGATTCAAACCTGGCCGGCGGGGGCGGGGGGGAGAACAACTTTAATTTGAAAATTAGTGTTATAAATAGAGAACAGAGCATCAGAAATGCTGCGGAAAAAACAAGTATGTGAAAATTATTTTGCCTGGTTTTAATTTTTTCTATGGGATTTTAGGCTGCTCTTATGTCTTTCGTTTTTGTTAGTGGTGTTTTAAACATTCAGTATCCTCCTGGTTTAATTTATCTCACAGCTGTATGGCAACCATAGAATTGTAGAGGGACCATCAAAGCCAACCACCTGCATTGCAGGAATATGCAGCTGTTCCGTATGGGGACCGAACCTACAACCTTGGCATTATCAGCACCTTGCTCTAACCACTGAGCTATCCAGTGGTGCCAGCAAATTCTAAATTGTGCACAAGTAAATTGTGTACTTGATTATGTTAGCTGCCTGGAAACCTCAATGAAGGGTGGGATATAATTACTCAAATAAAAATCTGCAAACCTCCCATATTATCGCTTCTTCTGTTGTGATTATTAGACTTCTCTCATCAAAAAGGAAGCAACTGGCTACAGAATTTAAAACACAATACAACACAACACTGAACTTATGATCCAATCTTTACTGGTCACAAAAAAAACCCTCACTCATGTGATACGGAAAAATATAAACGAGATAGAAAATGTTTCCTACCACTACAGTCTAAGGGACTTTCCAGATTATTCTTTTTCTGCTGAGTGAACCTGAATGGCCAAATCCCAATCCTATGCAGCTTACTTGGAAGCATTCAGTGGAACTTCCATTGTAATTTACTTCATTTCCATGTATTAAGCCAACATCCACGCCAGGGAAAATTGTGCCCCCCCCGAAACCAAAGCAAAATGCTCAAATGTGGACATCAAAGGTACTGTACTTAGTTACTCTTGATTAGAGTTTGCCATGGTCATCTAATGGGCACTGCCCATGACACAACTGGTAGTAAGTGACGCAAGCCATTTTTGCCACATTTGGACATAGCGCTAATCCAGCCTTCCCAAGTCTGGTGCCCTTCTGATGTTTCGGACTGTAATTCCTATCAACACCAGCCAGCATGGCCAATGGTTGATGGGGTGGTAAGAGCTATAATCCAGCAACATCTGGAGGTTACCAAGTCTAGAAAGCGCTGTGCTAAGTCTTAGTTAGGTCCAGCGCCGAGGGCCTTCTGGCGGTTCCCTCACTGCGAGAAGTGGGGTTACAGGGAACCAGGATGAGGGCCTTCTTGGTAGTGGCGCCTGCCCTGTGGAACGCTCTCCCAGCAGATGTCAAGGCAATAAAGAACTATTTTACTTTTAAAAGACAACTGAAGGTGGCCCTGTTTAGGAAAGTTTTTAATGTCTGATGCTGTATTGTTTTTAATATTTGGTTGGAAGCTGCCCAGAGTGGCTGGGGAAACCCAGCCAGATGGGCAGGGTATAAATAATAATAATAATAATAATAATAATAATAATAATAATTATTATTATTATTATTATTATTATTATTATTATTATTCTTTTAACTGTGGTTTGTTGAACAAGCCAGCATCAAACACAAAGCTATTCAAATAACCCAGTTTGTTGCCCCAGCTTCCTCTGTGAATATCCAACAACTGCGCCTAACCTTTTGTGTTGCCTAAAAAGGCATCACTCCATGCCCAGTTCACTTGCCAGCTGTAGAATTGGTGCAGGGAACTCAAACCCTCTCCTTCTGGGAAATCTTCCGCAGGTCTTGGCAAACCTTGAAGAAGAAACCCCTCTAAAGCATTCCTCCCTTCTATCATTCCTATCATGACAGTCCTCTTTGTAATGGATAAGTACTGACAATGTATAGATTTATAAACTGTATCAAAGGCTCTATCAGTTACCACTGGGATTTCTTTTAATTAAATGGAGTGTAGAGTACATGTAATGTAGCAGCCATCTCCCTAAAAGCTAGCCTATGTACTGAGCAAAGGAGCAAACTGGAAGGGAAATAACAGGCAAAGTTTATGTGCTGAACCATTTTGGCCACAATTTTTTGTTGTTATTGTTGTTAAGAACGTCAGCTGAATTGAATTTGGTAAAGGCTGTAAATATTCAAACAGAAAAGTGCATGTGAGTGCTGAAAACTGTTAACTTGTTGTAAAGAAAACAGTAATGAAATACACTTACCAGCCCACTTAAAGCTACAATCCAGATGTAAGACCCAGAAGTTAAAAGCTACAAGACAAAAACGCACAGTTTAAAAACGCAACTTTTATTACACAATGATTTGGTTGACTATTGCTACCAATAAATAATGTAGCAGATATCACAGTAAATCTGTGTGAGTAGGAAAGTGATCGAAACCAAAGGGGATAGAACAAGAAACAAAGCTAGACCACAACCAATGAAAACACCTGTGTGGAAACAATTTGCCAATTAAATCTTTTGGAATATGGTGTTTCAGTAATGGTGCCTGGTTGGTGGGGGGGGTAAGGGGTTGAGTCCAACTGCGTATATAAAAAGGAGAGGGAGAATACAGTTGAAAAACCATGCACCAATCTGCTGATGATTGTTGTGCTGCAAAGTGCAACTGGATCTGACCATTTTTTCTTCAGAATTTACTTCTACAGGCAAAGATGAACTTAATGACTTTTCTTCATTAGACTCCCCATCTCTACCATTTAAAAACAATGGGTAAAATACTTTAAACGGAGAGAAGGGCTGGAAAGGATATATGAAGTTGCAGAAAGATGAGACACAAGAAGATGCTGAAGCCAGAGAAATAAATATTTAAAAGGAAACGGTTCTGTACATAGTGCAGGAGAAGCAGAAATGAGTAATAACCTGACAGTGGCATATTCATTCCCCCTCTTCTGCAAAATGTTAATTAAAAAAAACCAACCCCAAAATGAACATGGAAAAGATGAATAAAAAACTGGCAATTTCCACTGTATTTATTTTATAAATTATGCTATTGTTATGTGCAGCTCTTCAATCTTTTTAGAACTTTCTGGATCAATAATATTTTTTTAACAAGTCTTGCCACTGAATTCTGACAAACTGCTTGAATGTGTGCCATATGTTGGACAGGCATTTAGTCGGCACGAGAAAAGCACATTCAGATTGCAAAACCACATAATCGAGCAAAATCTCTGTTGCACATGGTGAAGTTTTTAACGGCACACCTACCAGTTTGTCATGATAAGAAAGGAAAGCACACCAAGAATAACTGAAGCTGAGATAAACATCTAGACTAGATGCTAGCAGTAATCGCCTTACTTGTAAGATAAAAATGATCAAAATAACAGACTTTGCAGAGCATGTACTTTATTTTCCTCTGTTATTAGGAATAACAAATGGCTCTGTCAGCAGAGCCAGGTTTGAGGCTATACTCAAGGGATGCATTTCTACTTTAAGATTCCAAACATCAGCATCTGAGCTGAAGTTATTATTATATTAAGCAGAATGCACTGCTCTGTTAACTATTCAGAAGACAGAGACTTCTGGCCAACCTAGGTCCCTAAGACTCCCAGTTCAAGGCCCAGGGGCTCCAGTAGCCTCCTGTTTTCTTAACTTTTTAAAAATACTCATTTTTAAACTCCAAGGAGAACCATCTCACCCTACCTAATCAATAAAATTTTGTCAATGGGAAATACTAGACATGCAGAAAGTGGGCTGTTATCCACTAACAGCTACGGAAAAGGGAGAAACTATGGACACTCACTGAATCCCATTTTCCACAAGGTCTCTGGATTACTGTCACTAACATTTGCAAAATTAGCGAGCACTTCAGGTTCATCATGCAACTCCATGCACTGCAGCATTAATTGAAAAGTTCCCAATTCAAACAATTCTATTGTGTCTTCGGACTAAATACTTGGAAACAGAGTTTATAATACGGGGGAGTTCTGGAAAACGCTGCAAGGGAATGAAAGTTGCTGCACTGCTAAGTAAATGAAAAGCAAGCAAATCAATACATACTGTACCTGCAAACCCAATATATAGACCAGTGTCTTGTTTGTGATGGAAAACTGGCCTAGAATTTGTGTCACTTGCACTCTTGGAATGGAGCAATAAAATGGTACAAAAAGAGCAAATACAGGGCCCAAGCTGTTGAGACAAAATACAGTACAAAAATGGGGGGTCAATAGAATTTGTACAAAAGAGGCTTCAGCCTCTCTCCCTTGACTGATTTTGAAGTCAAAACATGTCTCTCAGTCTATTAAAAATGTTAAATGCTGTGCCTATCTTATTTAGAGCAAAAATTCTACGAATGACCAGAGGCTTTCCCCTCCCCAGATTAGCATATGATGACAACAACCCAGAAGGCTGAAAGACCCTTCCCTGCCTCCCATCTACACAACCCTGTAGTCCATCATTAAAACTGCTATTGCTGGATGAAGAATGATGAACCAGGCCCACTCTCATCTTAGCACCTATCTAGCACGTCAGAGGTGAGGGATTTCACCTGCCTCTTTTCTGCATGATCCATTTTTCTTCATCATACTTGGTTATTTTGAAGAACAACCAAGAGACAGAAAGTAGGAACTGGCTTTCACAGAAAGACTTGCTTAGAAAACTGTGCTCTATAAAAGCAGTAGTAATATATTTCAGTATAACGAGGGTAGCTTATCTTGAGTAGCTACTTTTACTTAAAGAACAAACAGCAATATAATATTTCCGGGGGGTGGGGGATGCAGTTTATCAAATTCAAGTAGAAGAAAAGCAAGAAAACAGGAATTTCAAAACTCTGATTCACAGCCCTCTTTAAGACACATCACCACCTATTTAGTGTCTCTGTGAATAATAACATGAAACCATGTGCTTAGAGGTGCAAGACCAAAACACAGAAGTTTTTTATTGCAGCAAGGTCACACCCAGTTATTTTTTTCCATAGCATTTCTCTGGCTCTCCCACTTTGTTGCACATACACAAGTTACTTTGAGCTACTTTGAGTTATTTTGTTCTCTCTCAAGCACATTCTCCCACAATGACCAAATGTTCTCTTGCCTCATACATTCTCTTAGCATCATTTCCCTCAAAGGATAGAGAGCAATACTGAGGAGGAAACTGCAGTTGGGTGAGCAAGGAGCCAAATGTTGTTGCTTCTTGTGCTGCTTTTCACAAACCTGGTGATATGCATTTTCTCCTCTGCTGTGCTGCCTCACTGATTTTATCTTTAGTGACTGGACATGCTTCGGAGCAATGGCTCTGTGAGAATAGTGCTACTGCCATACTGGTTTTGCGGGAAACCCCTTTGAGACAGGCAGCCATGCTTGTGTACGTTCCTTTGCTGATGGGGCTTGAGGCCAAGACTGTGGTGCAACGCATAAAAGAATATGATCCAGCAAACTGCAGTGCTCATGAATGTTTTGTGTGGTCTTAGGCAAGTCACTATTTACAGAAGTATTACTAGCTTTGTAAACGTAAACAAACAAACCAACCATTAAACAGAACACCAACTTTCCTCAAAAGCCAGTCAATGCTGGCTTGAGACAACCCTCATCTTGGCTTCCTCCTTCAGTTACAACAAGAGCCCTCAGAGAGCTGCTACCTCATTTGAAGGAGGTAGCCAGTGGTCTTCTAAAGTCAGCATCAGGTCTCAGGAACTAAAGCTCCCAACAGATGTACCGTACATTACTGGTAATCTGTTTTGATACAAATCAACAGAGCATTGGCCTGGGGAGGCATAAGATCCTCACATCAGAAAATTGTCGGGGAGCTATATTTCTAAGGGCATAAAAAAAAATAATTAACGTTCTAACACGTGTAATGCAAGTCAGTGTGATGCCCTTGCATGTAAACAGGTTTTTAATATGGAAAATACCAGTATAAACTGAAAATGCAGTCCTATCTAATATGTTTGAAAACGATAAGAGAGCCCAGTATGTATTCTGTCTGTAACATGGCAACCAAGAGAGCCCAGTATGTATTCTGTCTGTAACATGACAACTAATCGCAACCAAGGTTCTGGTAGTGCAGGAGTTCTCGTATGGCAGACAAGAAATCGAATGCCAGCTGTACAGTGGTGCCTCGCAAGACGAAAAGAATCCGTTCCGCGAGTCTCTTCGTCTTGCGGTTTTTTCGTCTTGCGAAGCAAGCCCATTAGCGGCTTAGCGGGCTTAGCGGATCAGCTGTTAAGCGGCTTAGCGGATCAGCTGATAAGCGGCTTAGCGATCAGCTGTTAAGCGGCTTAGCGGCTTAGCGGATCAGCTGTTAAGCGGCTTAGCGGCTTGGGAAAAAGGGGGGGGGAGGAAAAAAACCCCTGCAGGAACTTGCAAGACATTTTCGTCTTGCAAAGCAAGCCCATAGGAAATTCGTTTTGCGAAGCACCTCCAAAACGGAAAACCCTTTCGTCTAGCGGGTTTTCCGTCTTGCGAGGCATTCGTCTTGCGGGGCACCACTGTATTTCCCCCCTATAATTCCATCTGTATGAAGCCATGTGTGGACAGATCTTTGATAACGAAGATGCACAGGCAAAAAATTCTCCAGAAGCATCCTAACCATGTAGTTCCTTATTCTCTGTGCTTTTGAGGTTTTGCAACTCTCTATCACAATGCCCATTTCTTGTTAAGTAATATGTTTACTTACAGAAGAGGTTTCACGAGACTGAAAAAACCTAGTCAAAGTGCTTGATGCTGTCTATAATAAAAGTTCAGCCTTGTCTCCATGTGCACCAAAATAAGACTATAAAGTTCTGCTGGATTAGATTAATGGTCTATCTCACCTAGCATCCTGTTTTACAGTGACAGCTTCAAGCATATGGGAAGCCTACAAGCAAGCATGAAGGCAACAGCTCCTCTCTGTTGTTTGCCCCTTCCCTCAGTCATTAGTATTAACATTACCTCTGAACAAAGAGCCTATATTTACAAGTCATGGTGAATAACCACTGATAGATCTATTATCCCACGAAGCATCTAATGGCAGCAAATTCCTGAGGTTATTTATGCACTGTGTGAATAAGCACTTTCTTTGGTCTGTCCTGATCTTACTGTGAAAAGCTGAGTTCTAGTACAATGTTCTAGTACTGAGTTCAGCAAAGAAGAATCTCTCTCTATCCCCTTTTTCCATATATAAATCCCTATAAACCTCTGTCACAGGTATAGGAAGGGGGGGCGGTGGGAGCGGTTTGCCCCGGCTGTCATCCCTGGGGGGGAGGGGGTGACAAAATCCCAGCTGGGCATGAGCTCTGAAATGTCAGGACTTTGCAGATAACTTGTGACTCTTTGCAGCATTGACAGTACCCCAGCCTAAATATACGTACTGTATGTCTTTTCCAGAGGGTTAATGACAGGCTGATGGCTGAATCTTAAGCCACTGGACATTGCATTTACCATCTCTGTGCAATGGAAGGGACATTGCTGGACAGTAATAGCAATATCTGAAAGTACCTGCAATGAAATATAAAGAGTTTGTCTGCACCAACTAATTTTCATGCCCTTTGTATTTGCAGATACTTAAGTAGCTTGTCCCATTACCCACACATCTCATGATCCTTGATAGCTGGCACTTCTACTTATAGTGTCTCAGCAGGAAAGTTAGTAACTCACCAGATACTAACTGCAGAAAGTTTGGTGCCTGGTTTCTCTTGCTTAAAAGGACAGAATTCTGTATTATCCTTTAGCATGAGCCACCAAGAACATTGCAAAAGGTGGAGAAGAGCTTGTGTCGTGTAGTAATAAAGAGGGTGGGGTGGCAAAATCCCGGCTGGGCGTGAGCGCAGCCATGCCGATCGCACCCACTAGCCGGGCGTGAGCGCCACCGTGCCAGATTGCACCCCCCCGGGCGTGAATGCCCCACCCCCGGGTGCATGGCACCACTCTGGGTGCCCCGAGTGGCTAGCTCCGCCACTGGTCATAGGCAGAGACATACCTCGACTCCCTTGTGCCCTTGGCAAGGAGCCCCTTGCCCCATTCCTTGTATTCTTCTGCTGAGGTGCTCAGAAGAGCCTAAATGCCTTGCACAGCCACAAAGAGCATTGGAGGAGCAGTTGACCGAGTAAACAGATGGGCTGAGGCCAACCTGAGTACGTCCCTGGTCACAGGGATAGATAATCTTTTTTCAGCCCAAGAGCCACCCCGTTTCATGACCAATGTGTCAGCAACCACAGGCCAGTGATGGGAGAGTAATAGGCAAAGGAGGGCATAGCAATGGATGCAATTCTTCCCTTTGTACAGTAGGCTATATTCCAGTCATAGAAAAATCAGATTTCTCTACATCATTCAATCTGCCATCCACACAAACAAGCGACGTTGTCACAGTTTGAAGACACATGCCAGCCAGGCAAAAACAGTCAAGTGCAGAGCCAAGTCAGTAAGAGACACTGTTTTGGGGTAGAGTACCAGGACTAGTAGAAGAGATCTGGAGGGCAACATTTTGCTCCCGGGCCTGATGTTTCTAACCCTGGCACTAGTATGTCTCCTTTGCTGCCAATTTTCTCTGAGCTAAAAAGCATTAGTGTTTGGTCTTTTATTGTTTTTAAAACCCAGAGCTGCTGATACGAGGTGGAAGGAGAGACTTCATAATGAGGAGATGGGGATATTTGACAATAGGGTGCCGCATCTGTAGTCAAATTGTACAATCTATCAGCTTTGAACTCTGTAACATCATTCTGCTGCATAAGTACTACTGTGCTAGAAGTTGATGGAGGGGGAAAGGAGTTACTTCAGTCCTGTCTGGAGTTTTGAGACTATAATTCTTTCCAACAGACACTGCAAAAGAGACTTTCCCATGATTAGCAGACTTCCCCATTATCCCTGATCACATGGTATATGTATCAATGGTGGGGAGGCAAATGTTGAATGCACGTCAAAACTGAACATATCAGGGGAAGGGTAAAACTGTATGGAAAAGCATTCAGATATTTGGCATTTGACAGAATCCAGCTGCAAATAAATGTCATGGCACTGTGGATTATGTAACTTGAATTTAAAAGCAGCTTCCTCTATATATTTAACCAAATTTGCAATTGTCAACATGTGTGATGCTCAGGCCTGATCTAAGACATTTTGCAGCCTGGAATGAAAGTAATTTCAGAAACTGAGTGGAACAACATCTTCTGCTGTACCTGAGGGTAGATTAGGAGTAGAGATGGATTTGGGGAGAGCAAC